TTCGTCAGGATGCCGACGTCGAAATAATATTAATTCGAGCATTCATGTCAATAATGCAACGATGTTGTTGATCGTTGACACGACAGAAATGAGAACCGAGACGTTTCAAAGAACTTACGGGCGGGCGCGGTAACACCTCAGACCTGGAGACCCTAACTTTTGTCTGGTCGTATCCCGAACCTCTCCGTCTTTCTAACCAGCGTTGTATTGATACGTGCATTTGTTCCACTCTCATGTCTTTGGTCTGCCCGATCGGCCTTACAAACTCACAGCATACCCACAGAAACACGCTTCAGCTGGCATGTTGTGCATAGCTGCGCCGAATGGACTCGGAGCTGCAAAGGCACGGGAGTGGAAGCGGGTGTGGTCGTCGCAGGTTGCAGTGAGGCCACACGTATGCCGCCTGATATGCTGAATGGTCCGGTTGGCCGATCTGAGATGTCGGTGTCTGCGTTATGGAATGTCGCAATGGTTCAGTTCCGGAACTTTAGCGGGCGTGGCTTCAACGGGATGAAGCGACGGGGTGGCGAGAGGCGAGGGCGGCGGTAGATGCGGGATCATGACGAGGGCCGGTTGACTCTGAATATCTCTCCTATCTCTCCTGCGGGCTGCGTGGATCATAATAATGGAAAACATAGTACAACGTGGAATGCGCGCTACAATGTAGATTGTTCAAGAACGACGAGAGAGGTTTCTATATCTAATCATGTGTAGGCGAAATTTGACCCTACAAAACGTCAGGAGGTGAGCCGGGATGGAGGTAAGTGGCCAGCTGGAGAATTTCTAGTTACTCTAGTAAGCTGTACGTATCATTACTGTACTTGAATCATGACCACGCCGAGCAGAACATCTGGTAAAAATCGAAAACGAATCACCCTTGCCTGGCAAACCAAACACCAGCTGTTTGCTCCACTGACCCTCCCTCTACATCGTTCGTACCAATGAGACCGTACCCCTTGACCGTCCCGTTGTCCACCTCGAATTCCGCGATCGCAACGATGTCTAGCTGCGCAAACGCCGTCGTATTTTTTCCATACCCTTCCGGGTAGATCGATCCACCATACACCAAGTACTGGGTGTCGTTTAGGAAGGTGAATCGGATGTTTGTGGTCCACGGTGTGATCCAAGAGAGGAATAGATCCGTCGAGTCCGAGTTAACAGTGTCGTCATAGGAACGGAAATCCTTCAAAACACTCTGACAGGCCGGATCCTGGCTGTTCGCGCTGCACACCACGCTCGTGCCATATCCGTTGTTGTAGTACGTCCCTACGAAATCGTCAGGATTTGGAGGCGGCGTCGGAGTGCCGGAGCTGTCTGAACGAGCCGCGATCTTTTTAACCAGTGCCCGTTTGGTCGGTGAATAGTACGGTTGGTCCGGTGTATCGTCGGCGTTATCAATCGTTGCATAAGGAGGCGAAACCCCCCACGCTTTCTCGGCAACCTTGAAAACGATATCCAGCACCGCCAGCTCCTTTTCGTCGGCATTCGCGAGTGCAACAACGGCAAAGCCATCTGAGAGGGAAGCGGCCATGATGACCGATACTCCCGGTGCGCTTCCGTTGTGCATGATGATCTACGGCAAGCGTCATGTCACAGACAGTGGGGAAATGTACAGCTCTGACTTACAGTCGTGGCCAACAAAGGAGAGCCTGCTCCAACCTAATCCAAATAGCTCGGGCGAGAATAAAGAATTGGAGAGACGATCCATGACACTTTGGGGCCAAGTGATGGCGTCAAAGTTCTGGAGTTCTAGAATTGTTGTGTTTGTATTGGGATCAACACCACTGTTCAGGAACATTTGGATCCAGGGGCTCTACTCAGGACATAGGTCAAAAGATATGGACTTCAATGGCTCGACTCACCAAGTCTTCAACGCTGGAAATAACCCCGACAGCACCAGCCATGAGATCTACGAACTCCTCGTGGAGCCAAGGGGGTATCAACCGGCCAAAGGAGGTCCATGTTTCCGTGAATCTACCCGTCTGGACAGCGGCGTCGATCGAGAAGGTCGAAGAACTCATCCCCAGTGGCGTGAATATACGAGAGCCGACAAAGTCCGGGTAGCGCATGCCGGACAGTGTGGAGACGATGTACGAACCAACCATGTACATCTACGTTCCACTTTTAGACAGGCACCGAAAACCAAGGAACTGGGCGGCATACCTGGTTATTGTACCACCATTGTTCGCGAAGCTCCCATGAGGGACGTATGTTGCGGAGATTTGCTGTCATCGTTTCCAGTGTGTCATTTGGCTTGTACGACAAGTCGTGGCTGGGTGCGCAAGATAAACACTTTGAACGCTCAAAGCGATCGAACGAAAGACCTACTTTGCGACACCAGTCATGTGGGTGAGTATATCGATTAGGCTGGCCTTTTGGGTTGCCCAAGGATCCAGAAGGCCCCATGAATCTGGCAGAATATCGATCACCTTGGTCTTCCAAGACAAGGTTGTTAGGTTCCCGGGTAGAGGCGTGCTGTTGCGGCCATTCGCGTAATCCTCGATCAGCATCCCCAGAGAAACAGAGACGAAGGCCGCTGAGCAATGGCCAATATTGAACAGCGTCTAGAAATAATATCGTCGTGTGAGATCTGTGCTTCTGAGAGCTCCAAGAGTTCAGCCGTACGTCTGTGGTCATTTTTGTGCCGTCTTCTGATTTGATGCCCAATGCGCCAACCTCCGGCGGTCCGTTCTTGAAGACGACCCCCAAAGTCATACCGGGAATGCCCACTTTGTCCATGATCTTCTCCACATCTTGGATGAAGCTGTCCGTGAGGACGAAGGCAGACGATCTGGAGGACAATTGCTCCGGCTCCGTGCTTGCGGCTGCATATGCCGCGTTGTGAAGCGCAAGAGCGATGGGGGCGAGGAACGAGAGTCTCATGATGATATTGACAGAGACGACGTTGTTCAAACGTCCAAAACTGGACGCACTTATAAACGTTTCGCAACATTGCGGAGCAAGGGAGTGGCGATGGTGTTTGTCATGATCCACAATCAAAGCTACTCTTTGGAGATGCTTCTGAATGGAGTGCCTGAGACAAACGACGCTACGTAGAGGGGCGCTAAGTGGCGGCAGGGTGGCGGCCGTGCGCGTTCATCATCTCGTTTTTGTATTCAATAATCATGATTGCACAAGCAGGCCGAGGTGACCCGCCCAAGGTCAAAGGAATGCCCAGCAGCTGTCTTATCGTTGTCTTCCACGATATCGGGAAAATCACCCGCACTTGAGAGTCAGCCTGAATGTCCGCGAGAGGTAGCGCAGAATGGTTTACGCTTCGCAATACGATTGCGTTTGTACCATTAGTACCTCAGACGCAGGCATTTTATTTTTTCCTCAGCGAAAACCGATTACGCATGGGCGTATCTAATGCGCGAAACCACCGGGGCTTTCCTCCATCCGACTTCCCCTCAATCTGTGAACACCGGAGTGATGAACGCCTTCCATTAATTACACCGTGACCCCATCGAGAGCAGAGCTTTTACTTTAGACTACGCGAGCGACGGAGGTCAAGCCAGTTTGGAACTTCCTTTTCTCTAACACGAGTCTAAGTTTAATCCGATCCCAAAGTAAGCTCTGAGCGGAACTGTTGAACTTCACCCGTGACAGTCCACGCCAATCGAAGAGGAAGTATGTTCGTGTCTGACAGTCGACACAACAGGCAAGCATTTAAGGGGCAATAAGGAAGCGGGCGGCATGAGGTCAAGTTCCCATTTACGCGCCACATAGGAACCATGCATGGGAAGCTCAATCCGGAAATAGGTGGATTAGGAATGCAGTCAGTCAGTGAACTCGAAAGCTCATGAAGTGCAAAGAGGCGCACTCTTCACAGAGCCTCAAAGGCGACTTTGTGTCTGAACAGAATAGTTTTTTTTTTTTAATGTTGAGTGGGTTTATTGGGCGAAATGGGACGCATGAAAAGATTATGGAGCATACGGAGAAGGCAGGTCGAAACCGAAACGTTTTATAGGTCAGGCCCCAAAAAACGCGCGGAAACTGAAACGCCCTCATGGGCCTTATCGGATGCGGATAACACTGACAGATTAGCGCGAGGGAGTGTTCGGGAGGGACGTCGTCAACTCCATGGTGATGATGATATAATAACACCTGCAGGCCAAGGTCACCGCACTTTTGACCGGCTGCTACAGCTATTGGCGGATAGCTCAGAGCTCACCACCTGACAACTGTTACTGAATCGGCATCAATTTGAGAGAAAGAATTGGCGGAAATACTATAGAGGCGACAGGAACCGTCGTAGAAAGGGGAAAGGCCCCAGGACAGAAGCCATGCTCGGTGTTTTCGTTTTCGTTTCAGACAAGACGCTGCTGATGACCGAGATCAGACAGTTGAGTAAGCAAATCGGACCCCATACATTGACGTTTGATTCCCGTAGTAGACATCGATGTGAATCTGTCCATGGCTTTGATTTTGAAGGGAAGATACCAGGTTTCTCTGCATAATCTATGATATCCGTTTGCTGCTCCTGTCTGATAACTCGACTTGAAAGCTTGAACTCTCATCGCGCGCCTCCGAGTCGTCCGCCTCAGGCTGGTCCTTGTCGTCGGACCTGGCCTCTCCTCCTCCTATCCCATAATGAATCCACAGGCCCCAGCGATCCGCACAGCGCTAGTCTGGCCTTTGTAGGCCCTTCTAGCCAGACCGCACGCGCTCCTCGACCGTATTCAGCGCAGCACACCCATTGCATCCAGCGTCGGGCCCGTTCTTTCTAGACGCACGCATGCCGGGACGTGCTGCGAACCAGCGGCAAGCTCGGCCCGGCGGTGGTGAGACTTGATTCTTTTATTTATTCTTTCGTGCTCCTCCTCATACTTGCTCTGCAAAGAGAGATACATTGTATGTGATTTTCGATGGAAGTAAATCACAGCCAGTGACTCTCCGTCGCAATTTATTGATTAATAGATTCCAGGAACGCTTGAGACGGGCGATTGGAAATCTACGATCATGTTGCTCGTGGCATAGGACCTGCCTGTGGCGTACAAGACACCATAGCCGACTGGTCACGGTAACAGACAAGAAATCTGTTTCCTTGTGAGGATGCAGACAGGAAATCTGCTCCTCTTCGGGAGTGCAGGTTCGAATCCCGCTGGTGTGTTACTCATTTTTGCTACCTGTCATAAATTTCCTTATCTCTATCGGAGAAGTTCTTGTCTAGAAAGAAACGATGTCATCCAGGTCACCGGGTGGTACAGCAAATTTGGTCATCGGTGCGGCATCCTCGCAGACGTGCTACCATCAACGTCGCTGTTATCACTTGCTCTGCAAAGAAAAATGCATCACTTGTGTTTTTCGAAGGAAGTAAATCGCGCACTGTGGCTCGTCAACACAAAATTATTGCCTACTTGATTGCAGGAACGCTTGAGTCGAGGGATCCGAAACCCACCGTCATGTCATTCATTGTATAGGATCCGTCTGTGGTGTACAAGACACCATAACCAACTGGTCACGGTAACAGACAAGAAATCTGTTTCCCTGTGAGGGTGCAGACAGGAAATCTGCTCCTCGGGAGTGCACGTTCGAATCCTGCTGGTGTGTTACTCATTTTTGCTACCTGTCATAAATTTCCTTATCTCGGAGAAGTTCTTATCTAGAAACGATGTCATCCAGGTGGTTGGTCATCGGTGTGGCATCCTCGCAGTCGTTATACCCTCAACGTTGCTGTTATCACTTGCTCTGCAAAGAGAAATGCCTCACTTGTGTTTTTCGAAGGAAGTAAATCGCGGACTGTGGCTCGTCAACACAAAATTATTGCCTACTTGATTTCAGGAACGCTGGAGACGAGGGATCCGAAACCCACCGTCATGTCATTCATTATATAGGATCCGTCTGTGGTGTACAAGACACCATAACCAAATGGTCGCGGTAACAGACAAGAAATCTGTTTCCCTGTGAGGGTGCAGACAGGAAATCTGCTCCTCGGGAGTGCACGTTCGAATCCTGCTGGTGTGTTACTCATTTTTGCTACCTGTCATAAATTTCCTTATCTCGGAGAAGTTCTTATCTAGAAACGATGTCATCCAGATGGTTGGTCATCGGTGTGGCATCCTCGCAGTCGTTCTACCCTCAACGTCGCTGTTATCACTTGCTCTGCGAAGAGAGATGCCTCACCTGTGTTTTTTGAAGGAAGTAAATCGCGGACTGTGGCTCGTCAACACAAAATTATTGCCTACTTGATTTCAGGAACGCTGGAGACGAGGGATCCGAAACCCACCGTCATGTCATTCATTCTGTAGGATTCGTCTATGGTGTGCAAGACACCATAACCAACTGGTCACGGTAACAGACAAGAAATCTGTTTCCCTGTGAGGGTGCAGACAGGAAATCTGCTCCTCTTGGGGAGTGCACGTTCGAATCCTGCTGGTGTGCTGCTTCTTTTTTCCACACATAGTCCTTATTCAGGAATTCAGGCGGTCCAACCGTCTTGAGGGCCCGGTCATCCAATGCTCTTATCGTGCCCCTTTCGAGTCGTCATCGATCTCCGAAAGACTGACGTTTTAACTGCTCTCGGTTTCTGGGGATGACATAAAGTGGCTAATTGGGTTCTTGTGCTATCACCTCAACCATTCCTTCCGCGTCAGAACGTCTCGCACTGAGATTGAGTCCCCTTCGGTTGGAGTCAGATACATTTTTACACATTTGCTTTGCTACAACATTACCCAGGAACAAATCGAAGGGGGAAAAAAAGGCGGGGTGTAAAACTAGAATGAAAATAGAAAAAATCAACGACTGGCGTGTGCATAACCGGCGGGGTACTGTCCGAAACCATTCTGCTGCTGCTGCGGGGGCTGTGGTTGCTGAGGGATCTGTGCAATTTGTGGATTCGAATACACTACGCCAGACTGAGGCGGGTGCGGGTAATTGTATTGCCCAGGGGGCGGTGGTTGAGGTATTACGACGGCTTGTTGGGCTGAAGGATAGGGTGTAGGTACGGTACCACCGGAATTAGGACCGAGACCTGCGGAAGTAAAATACGGATGTTGAAGTGCCTCGGCTGCTGTGATGCGCTTGGAGGGATCGAACTGAAGAAGGCGCTCGAGCAAATCGATTGCTACAAAGGACGGACCATTAGCTAAGATTTTGAGGTGACGCGGGGAAACGGTACCCTGTGGCGATGCTTTTGGAAGAACCTGCTGGAAAAGTATCTTGGGATACCTAGGCCATTGCTTTATCTGAATTTCAGGCTTCGAACGGTGTGTTGGTCAAATTCCCGATCGCGTAGGAGAAGTTCGAGAACGCATACGCACCGATTCTGCAACCATCTTACGGAGGGTCCGCTCGTCAGGTGTTCCTATGATCCTCATAATATGCAGGAGCTGGTCGGCATTGTCTCTACCGCGGAAGAGCGGAACGCCCGAAATCATTTCGGCAAAAATGCAACCGCATGACCATACATCTATGGAAGTGCTGTACGTCCTCGAACCAAGAAGAACGTCCGGGGCACGGTACCACAGTGTCACAACCTTGGGTGTTATAAGTCGGGGTTTAAGTGGGGGAATGAACCACGTCACATACTTCGTTGGAGAATGTATTCACAGGAACACCAAATGCCCGGGCGAGGCCGAAATCTCCGAGTTTGAGCTCTCCTTTCCTATTAATGAGTAGATTCTGTGGTTTCAAATCGCGGTGCAACACCCGGTTCTCATGGCAGAAGGCCGTGCCCATAAGGAGCTGGTACATGAAGCTCCGTACCGTATTTGGATCAAGGGCACCGCGGTCGCCATGCGCATCCATGTACTTTTTCAAGTCTCGTTCACAGTACTCGAAGATAAGCACGAGCTTCGTTTCTGTGTGGATGACATCGTAAAGGCGGACGATGTTGACATGCTTGAGCTCCTTCATGAGAGAGATCTCGCGGATCGCAGTGGATGGGGTCCCCTCCTCAGCGTCGAGATGTATCTCTTTGAGTGCAACGATTTCATTTGTCGTTCTGGAACGGCCCTGGGTAAAGCTTGAAGGTTATATCTCAGGGAAGATCTATTTTATATCGCCATACCTTGTACACTGTGGCATACGTCCCCTCTCCTGTATAGAACTGAGTAATCAGCCAAGGCGTATTAACGGAAACCATGTGGACGCGCCGAGCTTCTCAAGCTGCAGAATAATACTATCTGTTAGCGCGATGGCGGGATAAGAGGAAAGGGCTGACTTGGATATAATTCATCGCAACGCCCGCAAAGAGGATGGATGCCCTGGGGGAGGCAAGATGAAGATGGCGACAGAGGAGGAGCAGCCCGGTTTCCGGCGGCGGCACAACAAGGGACAAAGACACGTGACTGGCATTATCACTTTTTGATTTGACTGGAAAGCGTTGCAAAGAGGAATGGCGTCCAAAGCCTCAAAAAAACATAAAACAAACCCTCCAAAGGGGAGACCCGTCTCGACCACCTCCCTTTCTCATCCCCCGTTGCAGGACTCATCGTCTCTCCCCATCCTCTCCGCGTTTTCACCAAATGTGGATCTCTTTGCCATCGTTTCTCTTGCTGTCGACAAGCATCGTCTACGCGTACATGACACTGACACTGGAAGGTGTGTTTCTGAGTATGTCGTCGACTCTGCACGCGTCACGGCTCTTTCTTGGGCCGCTTTTTCAAGTCCCAGCTCTTTGAGCAACGACCAAGAAACTGAAGACTCTGCGCCCCGCAAGAAACGGAAAAAGCGTGACCCTCGCGCTCAGCTCTCCGTCTCAGAATCGGACCCGATTCCCGTGGTTGTCTTGGGCCTCTCGACGGGTTCCGTGATCATTTTCTCCCCCTCACATGCTCGCGTCATACGTTCTCTCTCCCACCCATCCAGCGCCTCTTCTATTCTCTCGTCGGACGTCAGCGCTCACATCCCGGGGGCTGCACTACTTCTTTTTACCTCGGGTGCGGATGGTTTCATCCGTACCTGGAATGCACAAACGGGAGAGCTCGTTTCGAGCAGCAAAATTGACGATCACTTACCTAGCACCTCACTCTCCCTCCGTCCAGGTGTTGAGCTGGATCACCCTTCCTTCCTCCTTGCGCATCACAGTATCCGTCTACTCTCTGTTTCCTCAGACTCCTTGCTTACGTCCCCACAAAAGCTTACGGAGCAGGCTCGTTTTATTGGGCATGCCTCCGATGTCACTATGCTACGATGGCAGCCTTCCGAATATGACGGGCAGTCCCCACGAAGATTTGCCTCAGCCTCTGAGACAGATCACCATGTTCATTTGTGGAAGGTGCCCCATGTCTCGGGGAGCGAAGGCAAGCTGGTCGCTTCTGCGCCCCTTGACTCCGATGCGAGGCACATATCTTTCTCCCAGTCACCCAGTCACCCTGCTTTACTTGTTCTTTCTTCATCCGGCCGCATCGCAATTTTCACACCTCCAACCGACCAAGCGGCTACACCAGTCTCTCAAAAGATGAAAGGGAAAGTTGCCACACTTTCGCCAAGATCATCAGCGACAATCTCCTTTAAACGGGGTGCGACAAGCGCCCAGGTAATCAATGCTGCGTTCGAGCAAGAAGGTCGGATACGGGTGGCATGGTTGGCTGGTCACGTTAGACCGGTGTTCGACGTCGTTGTGAGTTTGTCCAGCTTGCATGCGTCTCTCTGCCCGACATGACCACGCACACATCAGCGATATCTGGACAATTCTGGAGATTTCGTCCAAGATGTCAATATTGTACACGAGGATGCTAGTGCTGGTCTCTTGGATGTCGATGGCCATGTGACGGTCTGTTGTCCCTTATATGGGTGCTATTCACTCTCACGATCGCGCCCTCTAGGCTGCCCCGAACAAGCGCTATGTGGAACCGTCATCCCTTGCCGTGCACAGTGGTACAGAAATAGCACAAGACGCGTCGGCTGATGATCTCGTCGACTTGGAAGGTCATTTGGACGTGGACCTTGCTGAACTTTCCCTTGGCCAGCGTCTAACCGCCCTCGAACCTCCCGCGTCGCGACCCGCAGACGCAGAGCGCTCCGATTCTGACGACGCAGAACACCCAGGCCCGCGAGCTTCGCGCGATGAGCGGCCCAATTCTCTCACACTCACGCGGACGCTGATTCAGGCGCTGCACTCAGCGGACACGAAGCTTATCGAGACTTGCCTCGCGTATAGCGACCCAA